AAAAAAACAAGAGTACAAGAGGAGGGGGTGGGCTAAGCCCCAACAGTAGCCCAAATGAAACCCCCAAAAGAAAACCAACAATATCAAAGCCTATTCCCTGAAATATATAAATATAAAGAACCAATGGCATCCCAACAAGTATTTAGTAAACAAACCTAATACAAATCAAAAGGGTTACAATGAAATCACTTCCTCTTGCATTGTTTGTCACCAGCTTGTTGACCCTTTTTCTTTGTATTCCCTTTTTTCTTTCTCTTTTTCTTGCCTTTACCTTTACCCCGATGATCTAAGTCTTCCAGAACGTGATATTCCTAGACCTGTTCAGCATCCAATAAATCAGGGTCATCTTCTAGTATTCTATCCCCAAACAGTAAGCTTTGTTCCTCTTCCAAAAGACGAGAACTATTACTCTCATGATCTCTAAGTCCCACACTAAAAATAGTATTCTTTGGTGAACTCTCAGTCATCATCAAATCATTTTGGAGATCCTCTGCTTTAAGGTTTAGAGCTTTCATATCCTTTAAAGATAGTTTAGATGGCATAAGACTTCTGGGGTAGAATGGAGAGGCATGAAATGATAGTTTATCTTTGGTTGAGCTTCTGATTACTTGTGAAGAGGAGCCTGCAATCGAGTGAAAAACTCATGTCCCGAGCTGTACTGAAGAGCAAACTGCCAGTGCTAAACCAATCCCTTCTACAGGGGTAATTTGAGAGTTAGAGTCTTGTAGTTCAAAGTCAGCAATGGGCTTGAATTTTACTCCTTCTCTTAGCACTATGGAACTTATTGCCACATCTGTTGGAGCACCACAATCTGCCTTTGAATTTCCAGCTTCCCAAGTTGGCACATCAACCGTTACATTTGAAAAGGAACTCGTTCTCGTAGAAGCCAGAGCAAGTTGCATCTCTTTAGACAAAGACATTAAGGAAGAATCATAAGCCTGATTGCTAACAGGTTTCACCATAGTAGAGCTCAAGAGGGGGTCGGTTATGGTTGTAGAAGACTTTAGATAGCAGCCAATGTCTTTATTAAACAGAGCTTTGGAAATGGTCTGAGCATCAGGGGTTTCCTTCTCAAAAGAGTTTGGGTATAAGCATCTAGTATCATCAACCCATAATTCAGTACCATTATTTTCTAACATCATACCAGCCGATCTAAGCTTAGCAAGGAACAGTCTAAAACCGTACCTAGTGTAACCCTCAGGAACAAATATTGAGGTGGAACCATTTTCTCTCATTTCTGTTAACTGAACGAAAAACCCAAAGGAGTTCGAATCAAAAGAGAATCGGAAATCACGGGTACCATCCTTTTTGGTCTGAACCCAACTGGTGAGCACTGGTCTTCGGAGAACTAAATCGAAGCATGAACAAATCCAGATAAGGGTACTCTTGTTTATCCAAAATCGATAAGATTTGTACCTTCGTTCTTCTGAGATCTCAAGGAATTTAGCTTTTGAAACATTGAAGGAGAACCTTTTCGACTGCACCTTAAATCTTCCGTTGGCATCTGGACCTTTGAGCTTTGAGCAATTTTGGATTGCTTCTTGAATGTGCCGTCGGGAGTCGTCAATTCCTTTCCTAATTTGCAGGTTCGATGCTGTTCTTCCGTCGACTAGTTTTCCCACCGGCGTAGATCTACGTTGATAGCAGCGGCTAGGAATGGAAACCCGATCTCCAGAGCCCCCCTCTCTCTCTAAGCCCATTTTATCTCACACACACACACACACACACACACATATAAAGATTGACTCCAGTGAGATGACACCTTATGGTGAGATGTCATGCTATGGTCAGATGACGCAAAGCTCACAGCAAAGCACACCAAAGACAACTGCAAAGCTCACCAAAGTATAAAGCAAAGCTCACCATGTTTTTTCAACACTTAGATTTTTTTTGGAAAAAATAGTATCAAAGGAAGGGATGCTGACTGGACATTGACCGTTGACCGAGACCTTTGACCGCCGCCTACCGCCTGCCACTGCCAGTCGCCGGCCGCCGCTGCTGCTCTGCTGCCGGTCGCCGCCGCCGCCGCACCGCTGCACCGCTGCCTGCCGTCGCCTCTGCCCAGTGGTTGACCGGTGTTGTTATTTTATTTTTTATTAATTTTTTAATTTTGAAAATTTAAAAAAAAGGTGAGCTTTGGTGTTTAAAGTGGTGAGCTTTGCTTTATTTCAAGGTGAGCTTTGCATTGTCAATTGGTGATATTTGCATTGTCAATTGGTGAGTTTTGTAGTGTTGTGTGGTGAGCTTGGCGTCATCTCATTGAAACATGTCATCTCACCGTAAGGTGTCCTCTCACTGAAGTTAATCCCATATATATATATATATATATATATATATATATATATATATATATATATATATATATATATATATATATATATATAGGGACTGGTTCAAGTGAGAATGCACCTTGGTGAAAGAAATAAGAATAAAATCTGGCCTTTAAATCTGATGCATCGTGCGGCTCAGATTGCATTCTGCACTCAAATTTTGAGATAGTGCATTTTCAAAGGATTATGGTGCATTTCGACAAGATGCATTTTCAAACCATCTTGGTGCACCTAATTTTGATGCAATCCTAACCCTTAGATCTCCCAATCTAATGCACCAGATTCATTCTTATTTCTTTCATTAGATTGCATTCTCACCTGAACCAATATATATATATATATATATATATATATATATATATATATATATATATATATATATATATATATATA